ATGGTCATCTACATGCCAAGGAGAGAGGCCTCAGAAGAAATCAACCCTGCTGACACCTTGATCTTGGACTTCTAGCCTCCAGAACTCTGAGGAAATAAGTTGCTGTTCTTTAGGTCAGTCTGTGATACTTTATTATGGTAATTCTTGCAAAGTAACACAAACCCCCCACTTAGTCATTTTATATTATCTTCTTAAATCACACAGATCTTGTGCTTATTTGAGAGAGAGAAATAACTTTATTTCTTTTCCGCTAGTATAGGAGTGGCAAACTGCAACCTATGGACCACATCTAGTCTGTTGCCTATTTTGGTTAATCCAGTTTATTTGGGACATAGCTGCATCCACTTATTTGCATATTATTTATGGCTGCTTTGGTGCTACAATGGCAGGGTTGAATAGTTAAGCCTGCAACTCAAAATATTTACTATCTGGGGGCTTTAGAAAAAAAAATTTGCTGACCCCTGCTCTAGTAGCTACTTAGGATGGGCTTATGTGGACAGTTCTTGCATTTTAAAAAGTTTTTTAAATAGCCTTTGATGCTTGAAAAACAGCATGGATGGATGGATATAAAATCCTTAGCTGGTATTTTCTTTCCTTGAGCTTTTAGGAAATACTGAAAATGCTGCATCACTATAGCCTTGCTTTGCTGTTAAGAAGTCTGATGCCAAATACTTTGGTTACCAAACTCCATAACAAACTACCTACCTAAGAGGAAGGCATAAAGAAAGAACCATTTTGATGATAATTCACAAACTTTGGGGTCAGGAATTCAGGTAGGATTTGACTGGGTGAATACCAGTTGATGGCTGGGCTCATACGGAGAACTCATGATGACTTCACTATAACAGCAAGGATCAGGCAAGACCCTCTTCCTCTCCGTGTAGTCTCAGAACCTCTCCTCAGGGAGTTAGATATTCTACATAGTGAGTCAAGTCATCAAGGGCAAGTGTTCCCAAAGACCTAAGTGGTCTCTTCAAGACTTCTTACGACATAGGCTTGGAAGTCCCATAACATCACACATTCTATGGGTCAGGCAATTCACTTAGACCAGCCTGGATACAGAAATACAGTCATCTTTAAAGTTCTGCAGCCTTATTTTCTTACACTTTTAAATAATTTGAATTTTTTGTATGGAAGCCATGAAGATGATTATTTTTATTTGTTTGTCTACAGTTTTAGAAGGGCTTTCCTGGTGGCTCAGTGGTGAAGATTCCGCCTGCCAATGCAGAAAACATGGATTCGATCCCTGATCGGGGAAGATTCCACATGCCATGGAGCAACTATGGCTGTGTGACACAACTGTTGAGCTTGTGTTCTCAAGACGGCAAGCTGTGACTATGGCGCCATCGTGCCACAACTGTTGAAGCCCGCGCACCCTAGAGTCTGTGCTCCGAAACAAGAGAAGCCACCGCAATGAGAAGCCCGTGCACCGCAACTAGAGAGTAGCTCCTGCTCACCACAACTAGAGAAAAGCCCTCACAGCAACGAAGACCCAGTACAGCCAAAAATAAATAAATGAATAAAATGAATTCTTTTAAGAGACTAGCTCTCAGGATTAATCATTCTGTGGTCATTTCCCCAAGTATGTGTGAGCTCTTTCATTTTGTAAGTAAGTATTTTCTTATTTCCAGAATGTTTCTTATAGTTTTATCATATGTGGAACTTCAGTTACATATACATTGGACATTCTTTGAATGTATTCAAAGAATATTCCAAAGAGACAGAGAAACAAGCACAGAGGTATGGAGATAGGGAAAGTGGAAATGATTCAGGGGTTCAGATGGGGTGTATGCAGGAAGCGACAAGAGACTGAGTGGAAAATAAGACAAAGGCTAGATAAATAGAAGGTCTTATGTGCCAGCCATGACATCACAAGCAGCGAATTAAAAAAAAATTTTTTTTTCTTACATGCAGTATGGAAAATGGATCAGAAGGAACAAGACTGCAGGAGGAGATAAGATGCTATTGCATTAGTCTAGGTAAGAGGGGTTAAGAGGGACAGATTCTAGATTTATGCATGAGGGGAGTCAACAGAATTGTTGAGTGTGGTGGTGTGTGCATGTGCTCACTCTTCGCCACCCTTTGCATTGTGGCCAGCCCAGCTCCTCTGTCTGTGGGGTTTTACAGGCAAGAATACTGAGTAGGTTGCCATTTCCCCCTCCAGGGGATCTTGCTGATCCAGGGATAGAACTGGGGTCTCCTGCATTGCAGGGGAATTCTTTACTGCTGAGCCACTGTGGAACCTGGGTGTGGTGGTGTTGGGGGTAAAGATTCCAGGATGACTCCCAGGTTCTGGGCAACTGAGTGGACAGGAAGGCTAACAGTTTTATTTACTCATTTTTATTTTTTGACCACTCTGTGCAGCAAGTGGGATCTTTGTTCCCTGACTAAACATCAAACCCGCAACCCTACTCCCTCCATCCCCACCACTGGATCACCAGGGAAGTCCTGATGCTAACAGTTTTAGAAAAGTAGAGTTTGAGATGGCTCTAGGACATCCAGGTAGAGATGTCTGGTAGACTTGTGTGTGTGTAGAACTCAGGTGAGTGGTCTGAGCTAGTTAACATACTCGGGAGCTGCAGATATATGTGGCAGACAAAGACAGAGTGGATGCAACAGCTCAGGGAGAATGCACTGTACAGGGTGTGATGAAAGCTGAGAACAGGACCTTGGAGACTGAGGAGTGGTCAGAGGGATTAGGAGATGAGTCCTGTTGCAAAGGCCAGGGGGGTGTCAAAAAGAATGGAATGCTCTGTGTTACCAAACGCCACCAGGAGCTCTAGTAAAAGAGGACTCAAAAATGGCCTGGGGCATTGAGGATGAAGCCAGTGCTTACTGACCAAGAGCAGTGCAGTGATGTGGGGACAGAAGCTACACACTATATGTTGGGGAGTGAGAGGGAGCTGAGTTAGCAGAAATGAGTGTAAACTACTTTTAAGACTTTTGTCAAGGAAAAGACAGGGAGGGAATAGTAACTGGAGTATGATCTAGAGTCACAGAGGTTTCTTCCTTTTTCTTTAGGACAAGAAAAATTTCAACATGAATAAATGGTGAAAGCAAAGGGCATGTAGGTAAAACAGGCCGGTAATTTTGAGAGTGAGGGTGATGACTGCATATGTTTGAAAGATTGCAATATGTTTCTGAGGATGTGAGAATTGATGAAATACAGAACTGAGATGGAGAGATGCTAATATGAATATATTTGAAGTGGTTTAATTCCCAGAATGGCTATCCACATACTGAAATTATTTTGGTTTCAATCACTGTAACAAAGATAGCAAGCAACATTTTTACAGATTTATTTTACATCATTTACACATCTTTCCTCCAAAGGACAGGATCAATGTTTTATCCTTTCACTACCTCCCACACAGTTGATGCTTAGTGAGTAGTAAGTAAATAAACAAAGTGTCTCTTAACCCTGAGTATCTTAACATATTCAGAACATGGTTAAGACCCTGCATCCAAGTGAAGAAGTCTTCTAAGCATGCAAAACAGTCACAAAATTCATGAGTGATAGAAGATGCCAATTCTTTTTTTTGAGGAATGTTTACTCTCCTTAACAAAGTTGGTTACCAGCACTTCCTTCACCTTGGGGGTTTAAAAATAGGAAGATGAGAGCAGGAGGAAAAGGATGCTCTGAAGGCAGGCAGGCAGACCACAGCAGAAGGTGGCACGATCTGCTTTACTATAAGGTGCCAAAAAGCAGTGAAAAACCAGATCAAAGCACAGGGCACTAGGCTGTCTTAGCTTAGGGATTTACATCCGTCACCAACATATCGAAAGTCCTTAAAGGACACTGCTGTTTTCAGCCTTAAATGATGTTGACAAGAATGATCCTATGGGGACGGAGGGAGGGAGGGAGGGAGGGAGGGAGGTTCAAGAGGGAGGAAACATATGTATACCTATGGCTGATTCATGTTAATGTTTGGCAGAAACCAACACAATTCTGTAAAGCAATTATCCTTCAATTAAAAAAATAAATTAAGAAAAAAAGAATGATCTTTTGAGTTCTTAAGAAAAAAAAAAAAAGAAGCTTTGCTGTTCCCCATGTGGCATCATCTCCTGTTTCACGTAGTTTGGAAAGGATTCTATCAAAAACGGATATTAAAAAGCTGATGCAGAAATGGTAATCCTCCGTCTCTCTCTCTTCGTTTGCCCAAGCTGTTTACCTAGACTTTGATGCCCTCCCCCCCGCCTCCTTTTTTCCCTCCTAGGACTCCTCTCTTCCTTGCAGGCTGAACACAGATGCCACCTCTTCCAGGAACCTCTCCGCATCGTCCAAGCGGAAGTAATCTCTTCCTCCTCTGAGCTCCCACAGCATCTCATAGCGGCTCTGGCTTTGCACGGGTCACCAGACCTGGTTGTTTACACGGCTGCTTTTCCACTAAGTTATGCGCTCCTGGAGACCGGGGACCGTGACCGTGACGGTGTACCCACACAGCACCTGGTACAGCGTTACAGAGCTGGGCACGGAGTCGGTGCTCAGGAAACAGTTTGCTGAGTTGAATTAATTTGGAAATACCACTCAGGGCAGTGTCTCCTGCTCCAGGCGCGGATGATGAATGATTTATGGGGGTGGTTCTTCGCATTCTTTACCTTGTAGTCACGTCGGGCCGAACATCCAGGTGGCGGGGTACATACCTGTGGAGTTGAAACGCACCTCCACCGCCCGCCGCCGGCTCCCAGGAAAGCCCCGCAGGGGGCAAGTTTCCCCCGCCCTCCCGGAACCGGGCCGCAGGGGGCGGGGTTCGAAGGGAACCCAGCCCGCCGGCCCGCCCCCTCCTCGGCGCGGCGGAAGCCCCGCCCCCAGCCGCGCGCTCGCGCAGGCGGCGCGTGCCCGCCCCCTGCCCTGCGCCCTCGCGCCCTCGCGCCCTCGCACCGGGGGCGGGCTCGCTGCGCGTGCCGGGAGGGTAAGCGGCGCAAGCTGGGTGCCTGAGAACGTTCGCCGCGGGGGCGGCTCCGGGGCCTGAGCGAGCGCCGCCACCGCCACAGCCGCGGGGGCCTGGCCGGAGGAGGCGGAGGAGGTTGCAGCCGCCGGAGACCTTCTCGACGCCCCCAGATCCGGCCGGGAAGTGAGTACGGCTAGGGTTTGCGGCGGCTGCCCCAGGCTGCGGGAAAGGAGCGCGGTGCCGGAGCCTCGCGCCCGCCAGGAGCGAGAAGGCGCCAGCGCAGCGCCCGCACCTCGGGAGCCTGCGGGGGTTTGCAGGGCCGGGAGCGGCCGGAGACGGCGCGCCGGGAGCCGGGGCCGCTGCACCGCCAGCGCTGTGAACGGAGACCGCGCCGCGCTCCCGGCCCTGGAGGGGCGAGCGGAGAGGATGGAGCGGATTCCCGGGCCGGCATCGCCGGCCTTTGAGCCCCGGGCCGGGGAGGGGGCTCCGCTGTTCCTATCGCGCTTTGGCCGGCGGGCACGGAGCCGGGGTGCGGGCGCAGGGTGATGCTGCCCGAGCCCGGCTAGGTGGGAGGAGGCTCTGCATTAGGTGTTGAAGGGGGCGAAGGAGGCAGGTCCTGGCAGAGGGCAGGTGAGGCAGGCAGGCCCTGGCAGAGGGAAGGGAATTTATTTCAGATCATCCCCAAACACTATTTCCCGAGGCGCCTAACTGTGACCCTGCACACCGAGGTCACCCTTTTAACGAAAGTGTCCTGAGAGGAGGAAGGATGCAACTAACGTATGTTTGCTGTTAAATTCCTGTGCCAGGCTTTGGGATTAGGAAGACCTTCCAGCAGCCTCAGCAGACAGTTTGTTGGTTAACTACCTTGGGTAGAGAACTTGGGTAGTCAGCACTGGGGTCACAATTGTGTAAAGCACAACCATCGTTTGCTACTTAGGTGCTGGCAGTTTTTGATTGTAAAGGTTTGCGTATGAAATACAAAGCAGCTTTGGATTTTGTCTCTTTCACTTTGTCTTCTTTCCAGTAGTATTGGGAAATTGGAGCCATAAAATTACTTGGTTTGAGGATTAAAGCAGGAGGGTCAAGGAAGCTTGTGGGAGGTATTTGGGAGAGTTTTATACACTTCTGTGTAACATTTAAAGAGAGAGAAGGAAAAAAGGAAATTGGAAAGACGGTTTCCTTTCTTCCCAAGCAGCAGGCAGTGAATACCTGCCTACTGCATGAATGAATGGACCAAGCAAGGTTTCGCTCTATTTTATGTGGAGCACTGTTGATCAATGTGATGTTAGGGATGCTGATGGACTCCTCTTGTCCCTCAAGTTTCCTGTCTCTTTTTTGCCCTGTAAGAGGTTCTCAGGTCTGGGCTAAGCAGTGGCTAAGGTGATGGAGTTGTCATATCTTGTGGCCGTGCTGCCACTTTCACAACTTTATTCTGTGTTGACTGCCAGGAACTTACTCTTTGGGTCATTGCTTCAAATCATCCCCTTCTGGCCCTTCTCTCTTCTGTCACTTGAAGAAGGGGAGAATGTCTGTCTAGAGAGCATGCTTTCATTTTTATCTTGGCTCTTGCATCTTAGATCTGTGGTCAGAGAATGTGACTCTGCTCTTCCATGAGGCCTGGGACTCTATGTTTTTTCCTGCCTTCATTGAATTTCTGGACTCTCAAGCTCCAGGCCGCTGTTTCAGCTGCCTGGGTTGCAGTGCCTGTTGGGTTACTTTGTCTGCCAAACTAAAACTTGACCTTTTATGAGTTCTGGGAGGATTTTTATCATACATCAATGGAATTACCTTTGAAGGGGGTTGTGTAGTTAGCTTAGTGTTGGTAGGACTTTTGAGTGTCCACTATGAGTGAGAGAGAAAATTTCTACTTAGGAAATCAGATTGAAAACCTATGGAATTGGTTTAAAGCACTTACTTTGAATCTCTCAGGACCTGTGTTTCCTTGTATAAAAATAAAATATTAATTCAAATTTGGCCTTGTGTGGTAAGCCTTGAAGAACTAAGTCAATTTCTCTTTAGTTTTAGGACAGTGCACTTAATTAAGAGTGCAACCATCAGGTGTCTACTAGTTCTTATTTTGGGGTGCAGTACTTTAGGATGCCTTGTTCTCCTTTTTCTCAGTAATATTGTGTTTTATTTATTTATATACTTAGTTTACATTTAGAAGTTTTCGTCTTTCATTCATGTCTGACTCTGCGACTCCATGGACTGTAGCCTGCCAGGCTTCTCTGTCCATGGAATTCTCCAGGCAAGATTACTGGAGTGGGTTGCCATTTATTTCTAAATCACCTTTATTGATGTTTGCACAGATGTCCTATGCAGAGTTGGTGGAGTTTGAAAAATGTATGTACAAATCTTCCTCAGCTTCTGATAAGGTTATGTCTGATAAACCCACTGTAAATTAAAAGTACAGTAGGTTAAAAATGCATTTAATACATCCCAGCTGCCAAACATCATAGCTTAAGCTAGCCTACTTTAAACATGCTTAGAACACTCACATTAACCTACTGTTGGGCAAAATCATCTAAGACACAATGCCTGTGTTATAATAAAGTGTTGAATGTTCCATGTAATTTACTGAAACTGTACTGAAAGTGAAAAGCAGGGTGGTTGTAAGTGTCTCAGCTGTTTATCCTGGTGATCAGGAACTGCAGATCTTTGCCACTGCCCAGCGTCACGAGTATCTTACTGCATATTGCTAGCCAGGGGAAGGGTCAAAATTCAGATTTGAAGTAGTTTCTCTTGAATGTGTATTGCTTTTGCACCATCGTGAAGTAAAAAATCATAAGTCAAATGATCGTAAATTGGGAACTGTCTACTTTGTAACCACTATGCCAACAAAGATAAAGAAATTTGCATCACTCCAGAAACTCCCTCATGCTGGTTTGCAATATCCTCATTTCCTCTTACTTTATTTATTTCTAGTTACAGAAGCATCAGGGCCCTGGCATTGGTGCAGGAAGTATACTGCCAGGTTTTAGGGGTTGCCATTCACACAGGAATCCTTGTGAGTGGCAGTTCCTGGGGTTGCGTCCTGCAGCCTGGAGCTGTGTCCTGCAGCTGTGCAAATGGCTCATGAATGCACACTTTCTCATAAAAGGCTCAACCAGTACACACAGAAGAAAACCCCCCTTGACCCACTCCCTTCTCCACTGAAACTGCAGTTATCAGTTTGTTGGGATTCTTCCAGACCTTACCCTATGTATTATCAATTACATATAGGTAATAAAAATAGGATTCCCCCCACAACCACATTAATGACATGATACTGTACACACTGGTCTGCAACATTCTAACAGAATGCCTGAAATCTTTCCATGATGGAACACAAAGATCTACCCGATTCTTCTTGATTCCTACACAATCCCATATGTAGTCCGTATTGTACAGTAGTTTATTTAATCCTCTGCTCATTCAAGTAAAGTGAAGTAAAGTCGCTCAGTCGTGTCCGACTCTTTGCGACCCCATGGACTATAGCCTACCAGGCTTCTCTGTCCATGGGATTTTCCAGGCAAGAGTACTGGAGTGGGTCGCCATTTCCTTCTCCAGAGGATATTCCCCATCCAGGGATTGAACCTGGGTCTCCTGAATTGTAGGCAGACGCTTTACTGTCTGAGCCACACAGGGAAGTCTGCTCATTAATGGCCGTTAAAGCTGTTTGCCATTTTACACATTGTTGTAGTGAGTAAAAAGTAGAATTGCTGGGTCAGAGGAGTATATGCTTTAAATTAGTTGATGGAGATTTAACCATGTTGCCTCGTGTAGTCTGGTTCATTTATTTTTAAATGCTGAGTAGTGTTCAGTTGTAGACTTAAGTCACTGTTTATGTGTCCTTTGCTCGCTGTGGGACAGTTAAGTTACTTTGGATACTAATTCATAGGTGGACATATGTGTTGCCAGTGTATCCTGCCAGTCAGAGGCTTGTTAACAATGTCTTCCGTTGTTTACAAGTTTTACATTTTAATGTGTTTATGAAAAATTTACATTAAATAAAAAAATTTTGTTTCCCTGTCTAGTTTAAGTAATTTTCTCTGCCCCAGGGTATGAATTAGATATATCTGTATTTTCTTCTAAAATTAAAAGAAGGGTTTTGCTTTCTGTGTGGTGTTCCTATATGGAATAACGGAGTGATATGATTTTCTTTTTCAATTTGCATAACCACTTTTTCAACACTTTTATTCATTTTTATTTTTTAAAATTATTTATTTAGCTGTGCTGTCAGGAAGCATTTAACAGGAGGTTTCCTGTGTGCAGTTTTGGATCTGTCATGAATCCTCTGTTCCTTATTAATACCTGAATATTCAGGAATTAAGAGGAGACTGAGGAGTGCATCCATTTCCTTCGTTAGTTTTTCCATGTGGTGAAAAGTAACTATTTACGGCCCTCTTTTGATATGGATCGCCTTTTGGCCTTCTGGCCGCTATTGCTCCTTGCTTCCTTGGTAAACTGGTGAAGTCTGGTCTCTTGATCTTTATCTAAAGAAGCTACTGGTATATATATTCTTATAGAATTCAGTAAAGCACCCTTGTTCCATCAGAGCTTGGGTCCCCCTGTCTTTCTTTCTTTCTTTCTTGTTCTCTCTATTTCTGGCTGATTCCCTGGAGTGCGAAGGCCGGCTATGTAACCCAAGGAGTATTAGCCTCTTTCCTTCTTTCACTTTTTCATCGTCGACTTGGAACCACCAGGTTCCGGTCCGTTAAAGGACCCTAACACTGTGCCAGGTCTTAGTTGTGACGTGTGCGATCTAGTTCCCTGACCAGGGATTAAACCCAGGCCCCTTGGATTGGGAGTCTTAGCCACTGGACCACCAGGGAAGTTCCTCTCATATTTTTTTTTATTGTGGTAAAATATGCATAACATAAAATTTACTTTTTTAATCATTGTGAATTGTACAGTTCTGTGGCATTAAATACATTTACATTGTTGTATAACCATCACTCTCCATTTACAGAATGGATTTCCATCTCCATTTTTATCTTTCTCAACTGAAACTCTGTATCCATTAAACACTAACTTCCCACTCTTCTCCCTCCATCCCCTGGCAACCACCATTCTGCTTTCTGTCTCTGTGAACTTGACTACTAGAGGTACTTCACATAAGTGAAATCATACATTTGTTACTATATTTGTGACAATATTTGTTACAACTGGTGAATAAATATGATACATTATTATTAACTTAA